CATCTCCAGGCAGTCTCCTTCTCCGACAGGTGGGGAGAAGAAAATGGTTGTCTTTGCGATTCCTCTATACATAAATGTCGCTTATTTCCGCTCGATACGGGGAGGAAATGGCCAGAAGTGCAATCCTGTAGCCAGTGTGAATTTCCTCTTGGTTTTGCTTCGGGCTTCCGAGATCTTCTGCTCTTTAATGTTTGTTTCCAAGCTTGTTTCTTTAATGATAGGGACTAGAAGCTCTTTTTATGCTTTGCTGAAAAGGGGAATTGCTGTACTTGCTGGCAAATGCTTTATTAAAGGTTGGGGGTTGAACTTCCCTGCTGCTTTACTGTAAATTGCCCAACACTCTTTGTCACTCAGGGTTGAAATGAGGGGTCCTCAGTACTCTCTGAGCTGGGTGGTTTTCTTGCAGACGTTTCACGACCCAGCTAGGTTACGTCATGCGCCTAGAAGGGAGTGAGGTTTGCTGTCTGTTTAATCCATCTTTTGATACCTCGGTGCTAGGAAGTAGCCAATCCTACTTTCCAATAAGCACTTAAGTCTTGTAGGGACTTTTTTTTAGCTCAAAAAGTAAAATTAGTCTCTCTTGGGAAATTCAGTCCTATAGCCAAAATAAATTCCTTACAAGCCCATCGCTCTCCCTCTCTTTTCCAACAACAGGTATCCGGGCCCCTCGCTTCGATCCCACAGCCTTCGTCAAGGCCAAGGAGCGGAAGCAAAAGGAGGTCGAACAGAAAAAGTGAGTGGACTCTCCTGCAGACCTGGCTGGGTTTGTCCAATCCAGGAAGCAGATTACTGCCCACGCCTGGCCTAAATGACCCCTAAACCAGGAGGCCAAGGGCCACGTGGCTGATTTAAAAACAACTGCAAACCTCAGATGAACAACTGGCACACAAACCAGCTGTTGGGGGGACTAGTTTCGTAAGGGCAGCAGTGAACTGTGTTTTGGGTCAGTGGTGGTGTTTGGCACTGTTCGTTTTTTTTTTAAATGCCAGTGGGTACCTAGCCATATATTACTTTATCAAATTTCTACACCTCCCAGCTCACCGGTGACTCTGGGAGGTTTTGAGAGAGCATCATAATATTGAAACGTGTCGATTAAAACAAGGTTAAAATTGACACGCAAAAAAGTAAGAATCAGCATTCAGATAATCGTGCCGGCCTGCTCTACACCGTGTCTGATACTTGAACCGAAAAGGTGACGATTCCGTTTCCGGTCTTCCTTTCCAGCAAGCGGAACCTCCATCGGGCCATGGGAGACACCCCACCCAGCGGCTGGTACCACCACCCTCAGCTCAGGGGGTCCTCGGTCCTCCCTGGCGGGAGCAGCCTTCTGAAGCCACGCGGCCGTAGCTCTTCAGGTATGCCAGGTGCTTGGCCTTTATTCTGTGGCGGCACCAGGGCGCAAAGAGGGGTGGCTGCCCAGACCAGGTCCTTGAACTCTACATACTTAAGAGGGGAACAGCAGAGAATCAGAATAGAGCTGGAAGGGACCTTGGAGGCCTTCTAGTCCAGCCCCCAGCTCAAGCAGGAGAGCCTACATCAGTGGTTGTCAACTTTTTTAATGCCGCGACCCCCAACCGGTCATAAGTCGAGGACTACTCAACCGGTCGTAAGTCGAGGACTACTCAACTGGTGCAGCACCGTTTGCAGAATGGGACTTTTGGCGGGCTCAGCAGGGCAGAGACAGCCTGGACAATTCCTATTGGCTTTGGAAAGCCAATAGAATTAGACTCTATTCAAGAGAGTCTATTCTATTGGCTTTCAAAAGCCAACAGAATGAAAGGGAGGAGCACAGCTAAGGAAAAGGGGGGGAGAAATGGCGGACTGCGTTGTTTGGCGACCCCCCGTGAAATGGTCGTTCGATCTCAAATGGGGTCCCGACCCACAGGTGGAGTACCATTGCCCTACATCATTTGAGACAAATTGCCCCAAACACCACTCTCTTTTTTTTCCCAGTGGAAAGCTTCCGCAGCAAACGCACTTCGGCCAGCTCCGGGAGTGAGATGGAAGATTATTCGGAACCTGTTGCACCAAGGTAAGGGACAGAGGGAAGATGGGGCTTCTTGTAATGCTGGGGAGGGAGGACACGGGGGTCTGCTAAGCTGATTCTGGCAAACTGTTTAATAAAGTTCCAACCTCAACTTTTCCGTCACCAGTTCTTGTGTACATAATAGCAATGTTTTTTGACTTGGCGACTTTAAGCTGGGTAGACTTCAACCCCCAGAATTCCCCAGTCAGCCAAGAAGGAAGTTCTCTGGGAGTTGGAAGTCCGTACATGTTCACTGGGGAATTCTGGGAATTGAAGTCCCCACATCTTTTTAAGTTCATTAGCATGCTGGCTGGGGAATTCTGGGAGTTAAAAATCCACACCTTTTAAAATTCACTAGCATGCTTCCTGGGAATTTTGGGAGTTGAAGTCCCCACATCTTAAAAGTAGCCGGGTTTCAGACACAGTGCTCTTTAAACCACGTAGAGCAAAAATCTCCTGCAATTAAGGTGTGACACGTCTACAATTTCACTGTTGGTGTTACCCCATCTAATGGATTGTGCCATTTTTCTTTTTAGAGGCAGGAAGCGACTAGGCAGGAACAGGAAAGCCTTCAGCTCTTCATCTTGGAACGGCCCCAGGGTGGTGAGTGATCCACCAAGGTTCCTCTTTCCAAAGTTGGCATTGGGCTGAGGGAAAGCGCTCCCAGAGGGTCCTGCACAGACCACGTGACCCCAGCGGTTCTTGTTCTCCATTCAGGGCTCCCGTGCAGACAACGCTCACAAGAAACGTTTGTCAAGCACCCCGAATACAGGCAGAGCTGGGGGTAAAGGTAAAACTGCTGGCATCTCGGAGGAAATCTTGGAAAACTCAGGTGGGTGGGCATCCCTGGGCCAAGCTACTATTTTATTTTTATTTATTTATATCTCCCCTTCATTTTTACAAATAATTCAAGGCGACAAACTTATTTAACACATCTTCCTCCTGTTTTCCCAACAACAACCCTCTGGGGTGAGTTGCGCTGAGAGAGAAGGACTGGCCCAAAGTCGCCCACCTGGCTTTTGTGCCTAAGGCGGGACTAGAACTCCCAGCTTCCTGGTGATTGGCCCAAAGTCACCCAGCTGGCTTTCAGGCCTAAGGCAGAACTAGAACTCACAGCCTGGTGCTTTAAGTATTGGACCAAACTGGCTCTCTTTGATGTATTGCCAAGCTGCTGCTTGAAACTCCCATCTTGGAATAACTGCCTTGGAGAAAGGGTGAAAGTGGGGTTCTTCTGGACCAATCCCACCGCCTCCCTCTTGTCCCGAACACACACAAAACACTGCCGAGTAGCTACTTTTCAGCCCACTGCCGTGATTCAAACCCAGAGCAGGTTACTCTTCTCTCAACTCTGGCTTCCTGAGCCAACGTTGGGCACAGCTTGGGAACAACCTTTTAGGCACAGGAGCTGGCAGGTGTCCTCTGGACGGCTATTGCCATCCAGGTGAGGAACAACATGGGAAACCACGCCAAAGAAATTCGGCATGTATTCCTTAGACCAGTGTTTCCCAAACTTGACAATTTTAAGGCATGTGGACTTCAACTGCCAGAATTCCACAGCCAGCGTTGCTGGCTGTGGAATTCTGGGAGTTGAAGTCCTCATGCCTTAAAATTGTCAAGTTTGGGAAACACTGCCTTAGACTTTTGGAGCCTGACGCCTTTGAGGAAAAAAACCCTTTTGCATTCTTGACGGCTGGCCTTGTGAACAGTTTTGGGGTGATCCTCTCGGCTCACCCGATCCTGCCTCCTGTCCCGTCTCACAGAGAACCTGTATGAGGAGCCCTCAGCGGATCTCTCCGAGATTGACGCCCGGCTGCAGGCGTTGCAGGAGTATATGAATAAGCTGGAGACCCAGACGTAGCGCCCGGGAGTGGAGCCGAGGCTGCGCGATTCCTCGCCAGCGGGATCCGGTCCAAATCTAGACGAGGTTCTTTTCCCTCCATTCCCGTGACCTGCTTGTGACTTCCTCCAGGGGAGGGCAGAGGGGAGGGGGGTGGGCGGGGGTGGCCTTCGTGCAAAATGTCTGCTTTGAAAGCCTTCCTAAGAATGATTTCATTAAACTTTCTAAGAACAACTTTCCTAAAAAGGTTTTTCTCTGGCAAATCCTTTTTGGTGCCCATGTTTCTACGGGGACTTCAACTCCCAGAATTCGCCAGCCAGCCGTGCAGCCCGATTGGCCCCTGCTACATCTTGCTATTCTTCTTTTTGCAAGTTCACGTCTTATCTCTTCATCCTAGGGCAACGGTCATCAACCTTTATATCAACCTTTGTGGTTTTGCGGCCCAGCTGGAGGGAAGGAAAGAGGGGAACTGGGCTGCGTGAGCGTTGGGCCGGCAGGCGCATGCATGTGTGTGCGGCTCAACTTGTGCAAGTGGTGCTGTGTGCATGTGCGCGCCGGCCTGCCACTCGTGTGAGTTCAGCTGTGCACGTGCATGCCGGTCTGACACTCGTGCAGCCCGGTTGCAAATAGGCAGCGGGCCGCTAGACGTGTCACACCTTAATTGCAGGAGATTTTTGCTCTATGTGGCGTAAAGAGCAGTGTTTCTGAAACCTGGCTACTTTAAGATATCGGGACTTCAATTCCCAGAAATCCCCAGCCAGCATACTTGTGAATTTTAAAAGGTGTGGATTTTTAACTCCCAGAATTCCCCAGCCAGCACACTAATGAACTTCAAAAGATGTGGACTTCAATTCCCAGAACATGTACAGACTCCCAACTCCCAGAGAACTTCCCTCTTGGCTTGCTGGAAGGTTGGGGACCCCTGTCTTGGGATCCGTTTGCCATTTCTTCCTTCTACGAAATCCTGCTTTATGGATTTATTAAAAAAATCTGCTTTCTTGAAAGTCCTATTGAATGACGTTCAGCCCTCATTTTGCCAAATGTCGGAATTCCAGCAGATTACAGCCTGGTGATTTAGTTTCGTTTCGTCCACCAAATTGTCCCTAGTGCTTAGGAAATTTGGACAACCCACAAAAAAACCCCAAAAGAGACAACTTTTATTGGAAGAGGGAGGTTTTTTTCCACCAAAAAAACCCCCGATGGGCTTAAATCAACCCAGGAAGCAGTTGGAAAAAAGGCAGGAATGTGTTAAGGAAGTCCCACAGTGGAAAAACAAGTTATACCACAGCAGATCACATGAAAAGAGGAATGTTGCTCGGAAAAACATACAAATGCTTTGTGTAAGTACGACAGAAAGTTTGCATGGCAAGGAAAGGGCTAAGGCAGGGGCGTGCAAACCTTGGTAACTTTTAAGGGGACTTCAACTCCCAGCATGGCTGGCTGAGGAATTCTGGGAGTTGAAGTCCACCAGTCTTAAAGTTGCCAAGGCTGGACAACCCATAGACTCAGGATCAAAAAAATCCTGATGTGCTAGCTTTTTACTTGTAAGGCGCTTCCAATAGGAAACACTCACAGACGGCATCTAGTTCTATTAGCACAGGCACCTCCGTATTTAAATCATCAAATTCAAGGATTCTTTCCATTTTGAAAGAAGGGAGTGTGCACCACACAGAGATTTCCTGTGAGATTTTAAAAAATCCTGATTTTTTTTTAAACTCCGCTTTTCTCAGAACAAAGGTGGGAGGTAGGAGATTAGCCCCCCCCCTTGCCTACTCCAGGGGATCAAGCAGCGGGCCTTTCCACCGACTACTTTTAAGCCGTGCTTGGTTTCAAGACAGAATCTGGAACAAGCAGAAGGCCAATTTTTGGCAAAAGAAGCCCACCCTTGCCCAAATCTTTCTCAGCTCTTTTAAAACACCGCAGCCCTTCCAAGTGGCAGGAAAGCCAATCCTTGATCTCCTTGCTTAACCATTTGAGCCTGGCGGTTCCCACCCATGAGAGCCATCTGCGCATCATCACATAGCCTTCGTGGTTGACCAACTTCCAGAGTTCCAAGGAGAATCCGTGCATCTCCTGTCCCATCTTCCACAGCACGGCAGTCATGTCCCAAAAGCCAGTTCTGTTGTTTTCATCCCAGCCACGTCCACGTCCGGCATCCGCCCTAGAGCCACAGGTATTCTGCCAGGAACACAGCCAGGATCTTACTCAAGTTCTCAACGGTGGGCCGATCCAGGTTGGCCTCGGTGTCCTCCAGGGTGTGCCAGACCCTGGGGAAGGGAGTGGCAATGAGATGGAGGACTGGGACGCCTGCCACAAAGACACACAAACACACACCTTAGCCCACAGCTGCCTTCCATTCCATGCAAAAGCTTGATTTTTAAGAAAGTCCCTTCTATCATCGTTGCAATTTATTTCTCCATGTTGACCTAGAACAGTGGTTCTCAACCTGTGGGTCGGGACCCCATTTGGGGTCGAACGACCATTTCACGGGGGTTGCCAAACAACGCAGTCCGCCATTTTTTCCCTCTTTTCCTTAGCTGTGCTACTCCCTTTTATTCTATTGGCTTTTGAAAGCCAATAGAAGAGACTCTCTTGAATAGAGTCTAATTCGATTGGCTTTCCAAAGCCAATAGGAATTGTCCAGGCTGTCTCTGCCCTGCTGAGCCTGCCAAAAGTCCCATTCTGCAAATGGTGCTGCACCAGTTGAGTAGTCCTCGACTTACGACCGGTTGAGTAGTCCTCGACTTACGACCGGTTGGGGGGGGTCACGGCATTAAAAAGGTTGAGAACCACTGAGCTAGAAGGATAAAAGGTGCGTTTTTTTGGGGGGGTTGCTCTTTTAATCCACATCTTTTTTCCTTTGTACAAGTAGTCCTTGACTTATGACCACAACTGAGCCCCAAATTTTTGTCGTTAAGTGAGACATTTGTTACGTGAGTTTTGCCCCATTTTACAATGTTGCCACAGTTGTTAAAAGTGAGTCACTGCAGCTGATAAGTTAGTCGCCCGGTTGCTAAGTGAATCTGGCTTCCCCCACTGAGTTTGCTTGATCAGAAGGATGCAAAAGGGAATCACATGACCCCCCCCTCCTGGGACACTGCGACCGTCATAGCTATGAGTCAGTTATCAAGCGGCTGAATTTTGATCACATGATCATGCTGCAAAAGCTGTTAACTGAAAAAGGGTCATAGGTCCCTTTTTTCAGCGCCGTTGTGACTTTGGTCACTAAATGAAACCATTATAAGTTGGGGACTAACCTGTAATGTTTTTGTCTAGTTTTCTTTTACCTTTGCAATTTTTTCCCCCTTTGGATTTTGTTTTTGAACTGTTTGAATAAAATACAAATTCACGACCAAAGGAGGAGGGCTGGTGGGGACGAGGTTTGGGAACAGGGGTGTCAAAGGGGTGGGGTATGTACCTTTCCTGAGGAAGGGTGCGTGGTCATCTTCGACAGAGCCGTAGGGGGAGTCTCCCTGGAAATACAGATGTTCCTGGGAATGGGACTGGAGCAGCCCAAGACGGTGCATCCGTTTTTCTACAGAATGCAAGGCAGAGATTAGGCGGGGGGGGGATCCTAGCCCCCGTGTCTGCTTGTCTATAGGGGGTATTCTGGCCATATAGCCAGGATTGCATTCATGCAAATTTCCTTGTCTTTGACTTAACAATCAACTGGAACCAAAATTTTCAATGCCTATGCAAGGGAGTGCTTAACTGAGTCATGCACAATTTTGTGGCTGTTTTTGCCACGAACCACCTGGTGGTTAAGCCAACCTGGCTCCCCCCCCCCCGACTTTGCTTATCGGAAGCTGCTTGGGGATGGTCCCAAATGGCGATCACTTGACCCCAGGATCCTGCAGCTGTTGCAAATGCACACACCAGTTGCCAAGCACCCCAATTTGGGATCACAGGGCTGTGTGTGGATGCTGCGACGGTTCTAAACTGCCAGTACCAATTTTTAAGTCACTTTTTTCAGCGTGGTTTTAATTTCGTTTTTTTTTTTCCAGTGTGGTTTAAATTTCAAACGGTCGCTAAACGAATGCGTCTAAGTCGAGGAGGGCCTGCAACTGAGGTAGATAAATTGTTGAGTTCCTGCTGTTCTCCCTTGCAAATGTCATGCTCCCCCTCCACCGGTGCTGCCTCCTAGCCTGGCAAACGTCTACTGATTCAGCTTCTGGATCTTACCGATGCTCATCAGCCTCTTGAACCAACCAGAGGTTGCAAGGAAGTGGTTATGGAAGGAGGGCTGAGGAGCGCCCAGCAGATCCAGCAAAACGAAGAGAGACTGCAAGGAAAGAAAAAAAAAAAAAAGAGGTTGATCTTCTTTAGTAGTGTTTCTCAACCTTGGCAACTTTAAGACAGGTGGACTACAACTCCCAGAATTCCCTAGTCTGCTTTAAAATGAGTGGACTTCAACTCCCAGAAGTCCCCAGCCAGCGTGCCAACCAGACTAGAGGGAACTGGTCGAAGCCCCAAAGTTGTCACCCACGCAGATGTCATCTAGAGTTCCCCTGCCTATGACATCATCGTGGTTTATATCCGAACTTCCCGCTCCCAGAGGGAGACTCACTATCGCCTGGAGCTGAGTGATGCCCTGGTGATGGGGGGTCCGGCCCATGTGCTCAGCTAGGTGACGGGCCCCATAGAGGGAATCTGTCTCACTCCACTCGCGGAAGGCCTCTTCCCCGTCAAAAAAGAGCAGCTGCAGGGTTATTTTCGAAGCCTGAAACCACAAAGAAGGTGGGTGAGCTTGTGTGTTGTGGCTGCAAAGTTGCAAAAGGGATAACGGGAAGGGAAGAGCACAGCCATGTAAGTCAGTGTTTTTCAACCATGGCAACTTTAAGAACTGTGGACCTCAACTCCCAGAATTCCCCAGCCAGCCATGCTGAGGAATTGCAACGGTCTTAAAGCTGCCACGGCTGGGAATTCATCCAAATCCATCTCTTATATGACTAGCATTGGTGGAAAGTATTTGCCTGCAGTTTTCTCCGGGAATGCAGTTTATTCCTTTTGCCGATTTTCTCTTGCACAATTCAAAACTTCCTTTCTTACGTGCAAATTTAAAATAAACTTTTGCAGATTAGGGAAACCACAGAGAACCCTGATCTCTTTGGAAAAATATTTCTGCCTTGAAAAGTGTCCCACCCAAAGAGATGGGAAGGATGACAACGGCACTCTGCCAGCTCTAACCGTTAATCTTCACTCCCTCCTCTCCTCCCTGTGGAAGAAGCGAACTGACCCTGGTGTTCCCAGCTTGCCCTTTGACCATCTCACCTGCTCTTTGGCCTTCAGAAGCCAGCTGTCCAGCGCAGTCACCAGCTCCAGCAGGATGGCGCAGGGCACGGCCGAATCGGTGGCCCCCACGAATGCCCGTCCGTGCTTGTCTCGGGGAAAATATTTGGAGTCGTAGTGGCAGGCGAAGACCAGGTGCCAGGTGGCCGAGGGGTCAAGCGTGGCCATCACGTTGGCAAAGCTGACCGTGCCGTGTGGGGTCCGGTCCTCGAAAGCATCCAGTTCCACCTGCCAAGAAGCCTCCAGCGCTTTCAGCCGTTCCACGATGAACTCGAGAGAAATCAGAAAAACAAAGCATGAGGACCAGCTAAATCGCTTGCACGGGTTTCTAGTCCTCTTGGGGGTACGACAGTACAAGTCATCCTCAAATTACGACCACAGTTGAGCCCAACACTTATGCTGGTAAGCAAGACAGTTGCTAAGGGATCACGTGACACCCCCCCCCCCGGGGATGCTGCAACTGTCGTAAGTACGAGTCAGTTACCAAGCCTCTGAATTTTGATCGCGTGACCCTACTGTCCTAAGTGTGAAAAATGGTCATAAGTCACCTGTTGTAACTTTGAGCGGTCACTAAACGGACAGTTGTAAGGCAAAGTCTAGTTGTAAATACTGAAAATTATTGAGGAGGACGTTGCTACGTGTCTTTCAGGAGCTAGCAAAAGATGCATTTCAGTTGCCTGCGTAATGTGTGTACGCAACAACATTTCAAAGATGGAATCCAGCTGCGAAGAAGTTTCACAGCCGGGGGACACAAACTCACCTGCCGGGTTCTGACGTTCCCAGGGCTACCTGAATACCTTTCCACCAGCATGGGCTGCAGGTAAGTCTTCCAAAGGCGTTGCAAATCGAGCTGGGAGGTCAGGTGTTTCAACTGGCTGCTGGACAAACTTCGGTGTTGATGGATCAGCTGTCAGAAGACAACCACCCTCTCTTTATTTATGGCTTGGGAGGGGCTTTCAAAGCAGCTGTTTGGGTTTTTTTTTTTTATTCCTCCAAAGCAGTGTTTTGCAACCTTGGCAACGTTCAGCCGGGTGGACTTCAACTCCCAGAATTCCCCAGCCAGCCTGCTAGTGAAGGTTCAAGATAGCCAGCTCTTCCCACTTTCACTACCCCAAATGGGATAGTGAATGTCCCAAATGCATTTTCTTTGGTACCCCAAAGGGCTAAAAGTTTAAACCAGGGGTAGTCAACCTTGGCTCTTTTATGACTCGTGGACGTCAACTAAGCTAAGCTGGCTCAGGAATTCTGGGAGTTGAAGTCCACGAGTCATAAAAGAGCCAAGGTTGACTACCTCTGGCTTAAACGTTTGCGCCTTAAGGCAGTGTTTCTCAACCTTGACAATTTTAAGGCACGTGAACTTCAACTCCCAGATTCCACAGCCAGCAATGCTGGCTGTGGAATTCTGGGAGTTGAAGTCCATGTGCCTTAAAATTGTCAAGGTTGAGAAACACTGGCCTTAAGGTCTTGTTGGTCAAGCCATGGCAGGACCTGGGGGTGGGCACCGCTTGGCCTTACTCTGGCCCCACAGGGTCTCCCAGCTCTTCTAACTAGGATGGGCCTTCTAGCTTCCTGGACAGCGGAAAAACGGGACTCTGAATATTCCCAGGGGAAGGGGGGGGGGCTTGTCCTTGGCAAAGCGGGCAAGCCAAGCCCACCCACCACAGCTCGGCTGCCCTCCTCAAGGCCATTCTCCCCCCCCCCCCGTCTCTCTCCTGGGGGCTGCCCAACCTGGCATCCTGGTGGACCCCACCAGCTGAGATCAGATCCCATCCCGGCTTGCCATCCCGTTTTCTCCGCCCTTCTTCAACCTGGCACCGCAGACCCCGGCGTGCTGGCTGTGCCTTCTGGGTGATGCGGTCCCGAGGCACTGCTGGATGCCAGGGGACGGGGAAGTGGAGGGGCCTGGAGTTGCCCCCAGCGCCAGGGGCCTTCAGCTGGGCCGGGAGCCCCTCGGCGCCCGGCCTCGCCTTGTTCGCCCTCGCCTACCTGGCTGCCCGGCTCCGCTGCCTGCCCGCTCCAGAGGAGGCAGAGCGCCAACGCGCAGCCCGCCGCCGCCAGCCCCAGCGGGAGCGCCCAGCGCCGGATCGGGCGCCGCTGGGGGGCCGTGGGGAGAGCCCCAGGGTCCGCCGCCGCCGCGCGCCCCTCCTCGCCGGCCGCCCGGCTCCTGCGCGCCCCCTTCCGCATGGCCGAAGCCCGCCGGGCGATGAATGGCCGGGAACGCCGCCGACCCTACCCCGCTCAGCCGGCGGGGAGCTCCGCCTTGGGCCCCGCCCACCCGGGCTCGCCCAATCCCGGGCGGCGGGGGAAGGGGGTGTGCCTCTGGAGACCGCCCCCTTCCTGCTTAAGGACACGTGGGCAGAGCCAGCGGATTCGGACGGGCGGGGCGGGGGAGTGGCGGGCCGGTTTTGCTCTTCCTTGATAGGACTACAGGTCCCGTCGCTCCGGAAGGAAGGGAGGGGAAAAGAAGAAATACTAAGATACATATCAGTTGACTGCTAATTGACCTATTGGGGAGAAGGAGGAAAAGGAGAAGGAAGGAAGGAAGGAAGGAAGGAAGGAAGATGCATAAAAATGCCCTATCAAGCATCATCGTCCTAACACTTTAAAAAGCAATGACAATTATTTGAATTCCAGCAAGCAGAGCAAAGTTTTCTCCATTACCAACAAAATGACTGGTTGCAGCTAAATGCTTTTTCTCTCTGCGCTACAAAATCTTTTTGGGAAAAAGAGTGAAGAAAAAAAAACGGTCTCTGAGTTATGCAAGACCTGTGTTGTGTAAACATGGAAGCGACACAATCCCCCCCCCCATTACATCCACAATTATAACCTAAACAGTTGCAGTAGTTAGTGGCGTTGCAATCCAGCTTCTGCGAATATGGATTTTCTGGGTATTAAAATTGGAGGCTGCTTGCCTGAAGTGCAAGCAGCCTCTTGTATGGCTCCTTTACTCCTGATCTATGTTATCTTGGATGCTTTTCCAGTTTCTCACAAGCCATGTTCATGCAATATGCAAACCATGCCTTGTGCAGATGGGTTGTCTGAACTCAAATCATGTGGGTGTTCCATCCCTGGAGGTTTTCAAGAAGAGACTGGACAGCCATCTTTCTGAAATGGTATAGGTTGGACTGAGCTGAGGGTTGGACTAGATGACCTCCAAGATCCCTTCCAACTCCGTTATCCTGTCATTCCTCCAGAAATGAGAAAGCAAGTCTTACTTCGTTTCTTTCCTGTTTTTATTTTTTTTTTTTCTCCACTTGACATTCATTTGAAAATGCCACACATGTACACAGACAAACAGGCTTATAAATACCAGTGTGAATAGTAGCAAAAGTGTCCTGCTCTGACACACATACACACCCCCACCTTCCACCCCTGAGCGGTACCAATCGGCCAGCGTCAATGAAGCAGCAGGTGGGTGTCAAATCACTGAAAATGAACATCTGATCCAAAGGGGAACAACGCGAATCCTGTTGATTAGGGGTAAGGGAGTTGGAGAGAAGATAAAATAGTTAGAAATAACAAAATATTGGAGGGTGGACAGGTGGACAACCAAATTGTGAGAATTCTGGTGCACAGAAGAAAGGAAAGGGCCGAGATTAGGGAGTAAAACAGACCGCATCACACAAACATGACTTGTAAGAATTCTTATAAGCGAAAAGGCGCAGGAGCAAAATTGTTTTAGCGCAGTGTTTCTCAACCTTGACAATTTTAAGGCATGTGGACTTCAACTCCCAGAATTCCACAGCCAGCAATTCTGGGAGTTGAAGTCCACATGCCTTAAAATTGTCAAGGTTGAGAAACACTGTTTTAGCGTGACCATCACCCACTCTGCCCATGTTAAATAAAAGAAGCAACTAGGGTTGGGGGTGAAGAAAAAGAGGGAAGGGAAATTATATTTCAATGGAACATCATGGCAACCTTAAGATGTGTGGATCTCAACTCCCAGAATTCCCCAGGCAACCATGATGGCTGGGGATTTCTGGGAGTTGAAGTCCACACATCTTAAAATGGCTAAGGCTGAGAAATAGAACCCTTTTCACCCCAAAACACACTGCCTTCAATATCAATCTCCAGTTTTCTTCTGCCCTGCCCAAGATGGCCCACTCAGCTGGCCATCCTCTTCCTCCAGGAGGAAGGAGAGGTGGTGGGTCAAATTAGACTCAAGTAGGGGTAGCATCCTAGGTGTGGATAAAAAATTCCTGAGCTAAAGAATTATTCTAGGAGGCAAGGCATAGAATAGTATGGAAGAGGTAGCTGGCGAATGGACCTATAACAGTTGGAATCCTAGTTAGATCTCTTGATGTGAAGGTCAACTCAACTTGGGCTTTGAAGGAGAAGGCTACTAAAGAACAAAGATGGCGAAGGTGTGCCACTGTCTTCTAAGGTGGCCTTTTGACTTTCCAGTCTAACCCATAGCTCTTGGGCTTCTCTGTGGTTTCCCAACCAAGTATCAACCAGGTTATGCAGTGGTCAGTGGGGTCTTCCTATGGTGTAGAATTTGCCTTCCCACCATCCTCAGACCTTTCCTTGCCCATGAAGATGGCCAACTGGGAAAAGCTGGAGGGTCTACAAAACTTGGAGGGTTTCAAAAAAACTGAATTAGGGAGTAGCCCTTAGGATGGCCACTAAGAAGCAGCCTAACCACCATTGAGTCATCTTATGAAGACCTCATGGTAACCCAGACCCCCCTTTAGATCTGGAGCAAGTCCTAAGACAATACAGTGAGTTTCTGAAAGGGAAGGAAGGAAGGAAGGAAGGAAGGAAGGAAGGAAGGAAGGAAGGAAGGAAGGATGGAGGAGGCCAGTTGAGCACTAGTTTCTAGACCAAGGGTCTTCAAACTTGGCAACCTTAAGACTTGTGGATTTCAACTCCCAGAATTCCTCAGCCAGCCAGGTCAACAAATCTTAAAAGTTGCCAAGTTTGAAGACCCCTGTTCTAGACCTTTGGGCTCCTCCACTGCTACTAGCTTACACCAGGTTGTGAAGAACTCCACACAAGAGGCCAATGAAGGAAAATCATGAGGTTACGTGTCCCTGAATCTACAGGATTGTTAGCCAAGCTCAGAAGACAATCCCAGGACTTGATTACCAAACACGGGCTGTTAAGCTGCTCAACCAGACCAGTCGGCTTTCATGCCAGCCGAGTACATATTGGCATTTTCCAGTGAAAACATTTGGCCATATTAAAGACAGCAGCCTCAAGTGGTTGAGTTTGGAAGACCCCCCCTCCTTGCTAGTCCTCCCCCAAGCCAACTGGATCACAATTCAAGGAAGGAAGGGACGTTGCTGAGTGGACTTAGTGTTAGCTGGATAAATAGTTTTAGCCTCCAAGAGCCAGATAAACAAGAGAAAAAAAAATATAGGGAGAAAAAAGCTGAGGACCCACAGAGCATTGCTACAGAAGGGAAGGGGTCTTTGATTTAAGGGAGGGGGCTTGCAAGGGTGAGAGCAGAGGCACCTGGTCCAGTTTCCTCAATCTAAGCCAGGGGTCCTCAACCTTGGCAACTTTAAGATTTGTGGACTTCAAGTCCCAGAATTCCCCAGCCAGCCAGGTTGGGCTGGGGGACTTGAAGTCCACAAGACTTCAAGTTGCCCAGCTTGGACACCCCAGTTTTACAGGATAAAGGAGCCCATTGGGACAATCTCCCCAAATCTGGTGAGCTGCTGTGACTGGCCAGCACACACCCCTCTCAGTCATCAATGCTACATATTTTTAAAAAGGGGCCTCGTGACTCTTTGTACATATATTTTATTTTTTTAAAATACATTGGGTTTTTTCCCTCCCCCTTCTTCTATTTCCTTCTGCAGCTCATTTGGAGCAGGCAGAACAGGAGAGACCGCATCTGAGCCCCCACCTGCCAAGGGGATCAAGCAATTCTTTAAAAGACACGCACACACGCGCGCAACACACACCCCAGAGCTGTTGTAAAACGCACTCGCATCCCAGTCTCTCGCACACGCATGGAGAATTTAAGACAGGAGAGAAAAGGATGAAAGGAGAGTAGGGTCTCTTTCCCCCCCTCCCGTCCCGAAGTCCCTCACCTCCCGTCCTCCCTCCGGGCTGCCCTTTCTCTCAACATATCGCACGGCTGCACCCAGTTGTTGTCGTGCAGTCCCACACGGCAGCCCGGGGTGTCTTTGTCCGTTCTGCGGCAGCACATCCAGTAGGAGCGTCCGTAAGGCAAGTCGTGATGGTAAGGTTTGGGGTGCCAACGGCAGAGGGAGACGTCGCCCTTCTCGTAATGTCTCTTGCACTGCTTGCAGGGGTCGTCGCGATACAAGGGGTCCCGGTTCCACTTGGAGTCCGTGGCCTGCACGCCGAAGGTCTCGATGATGTACTTGAAGTAGTGGCAGGAGCATTTTAAGGCCGCCAGCGCCTGGGTGGGCAGGTAACTGAAGATCTTCACCATGATGTGATCGGGGAGCAACAGCATGTACTGGCGAGGCTCCAGCAACCGCTGGATCTTGAAACGGATCTCTAAGAAGTCATGCGAGACGTGGCGATACAGGCGACACAAGGAGGTATCAGAGACAGCAGGCTCCAGGCCGGACCCATCGGCCCTCTCCAGCCCGCCCTCACCACCACTGGATGAGTCCAGGAACACACTGTCCGTGTCTCGGCTGTCTTCCTGCCGCGGCGTCTGAGCATGGAGGAAAAAGAGCTGTCCTGGAGGAGGGTCATCGCAAGAGGCACACAACCCTTCTTGGGTTGGCGAGCCCACCGTCAAGCAAACGGTCTCTTCCTTCATATTCTTGGTACTGTCCTTGCCAAAGAAGACACACTGGTCCACGACACCCGTGACCACCACGTCCACGTGGAAGCCGGACACACAGTCTCTGGCTGCAGTGGCAGGGGAGCCTCCCATCTTTTCGGCAGGAGCCCGAATGTCTTCGGGGATAGTGTCCAGTTTGCCGGAGGCGTTCTGGGTTTCACGGTAGGTCATCTCCAGATCTGCAGGCTCCCGGCCGGATCCTTCGGACCCCTTGGGGGAGGCACTCGCCAACAGGAAATCCACATTGTTGGGAAGGGTATCCCGAGAGGGGCTGATCAGCTGATAGAGGTCACAGGTGATCTTATCTTTGGACCGGGCCGTGGTGCCAGTGGGTGACCCTCCGCAGCTCATGAACATGCAGTTGGGCCGGGGAACGGAGCTGCTCTCCGAGGGCGAACGGGGGTCTCGGCTGCTGGAAATACGGAAGGCAATGCGAACTTCGCCAGGGCTATGTTGGGAGTTGGCCACGCACTCG